ACTATTCCTATAATCCTATAGTATAAATATCCTATCCTAGCCGCCTAACGCCTAAGTAGGTCGGTTAACTATTATCTATATATAACGGGTCGTAATATAATACAGCTACTGTTCCACTGCATACCTAATGAGGATCTTCAATAATAATAGTGCACAGCCTCCCTAGAATGGTCTTGGTACTAAGGTCGGACTGTCTGCCAAAAGTCACACAATTAGAAACATCTTATTGAGAATAAATAAATGTGGGTAGCTTTAGTCTATGCGATAGTGAGCTACGTAGAGCAGCCTTGCGAATTTAACGTATAACTCAGACTAGACCTAGCGAGAAAGCCCGTAGCTATTTGATGTTTGAATTGAACTTTAGCCTTGTATTTACATGCTAACTAGATTCAACATCAAGCTTGCTAAAGCTCCGGATCCTCTACACAACCATCAATACCACCGGTCCTACATTGTTGCATTTGAGATGGTAAATCTTGAGCTGGCAGTCTAATGTAGACCTCCATTCCAGATCATTTTGTCCGCTAAAGATGAACATGAATTTCTTCAAATGATGGGACTATTCAATCGAGAATTCAGCGAGAGCCTGGAGAGTGGAGTTGTCAAACTGAGAAGCGTCCCAAATGGTGGTGACCTCGGTGATGAAGCCCTCAGAGTTGAGCAGAAGAGCTGTGATTCCGTTGTCGGCCCCACTTTCAGAGCGACCCTTCCACTCATAGGCTCCACCCACGGCACTTCCAACAACGTGGCGGACGGCAGCACCGGAACCGTAGGGCAAAGTGGGCAGAGCTCTGTTCAGGTATCTTTCAATGGCCGCCTTGCCTTCAATGCGTGTGCGAGTGGTGAAGTCCTGTAGGACAGCATCGAAAGTCAGAAGGTCAGCCACGGCGGTGACATTACCCCCGGTGAGAGCTGCGTGGAGCTCATCTGCGACGCGTTTGATACTCTCTTTGGGTTGAGATGCTACACGCGATTCGGCGAAGTCGGTAGGGAACTGGTCATCAGGCACGCGGTACGCCGAAACAGGGTTGAGGCGTGAGTCCCAGTAGTCGACCTGGCGCAAGACCTTGCCGTCGCGGAAGTCAAAGGCAGCGATCAAACGCATTTCGGCGCCAAAGACAGCCGGAGTGTCGACAAAAATGACCACGGCGCTGTTGGCATCGCCAACGATTCGCAGTGGGTAGGACTTCGCATCCGCGGTCCAACCGGCAACAACGGGTTCGAAGGTTGCTAGAAGATCTGGCTGGGAAAAGAAGGTGCCCAAAGTTGCGTCGACATAAACTCCTTCAGTGGTGTCAAAGTAGCCGATCCAGCGCTGAGCGTCGTGGAGACTCTTTGCCGTAAAGTACTCTTGGACGATGTTGACGGCTTCGGTTGTTGCATAGCGCGTGTCGGCAACATCGGGATAAACAGCACCCGACTGGCGGTGAACGATGGTTGGACTGGCTACGGATAGTCCGGCGATTGCAGTCAGGAGGAAAGTGGAGAGCATCTTGACGTGCGTGTTGGTTAGGTGAAGTGCAGTTTTTGGAACTTGAGCTGGTTGACAACTTCAAAGGCTTATAATGATCCAACTGTGACGGATGCGAAGTTGCTTTAATAATTTTGTCTTGGTGCAAGTCTAATTGACCGCGGAACTACTGCAAGTATTGCCAAGCGTTCTATTCCTCAACTTCTCACATTCCTCCGCTCAAGATGGGCATCGGGAATACGAATGTTTCTTCCTTCCCGAGCCGCGCGCGATGCCAACGCCAAATGCCTTCTCATTTTCGAATGCCGCGCGCGATGTTGAGCCTAAATGAGTCTGTGGTACTGGTTTCTGGTCATGCAGAGTCTTATGGCGGATTCCTTGACTTGTGACTTCCTAATTGAATCGAGTGTGGCATTTTGCGCCTACAGTTGAGCATTAGTACGATAATCAACAAGATTCCAGAATTCGTTTGTACACTTGCGATTCTTCTTGCCAAGCTCGGCTGTAAGATTATTGAGGTTTTTGCCGCCTCGTTGGGCAGACTATCTAGGCTTGGCAGCGGGCCGTTTCGGCAACTAGCAACGTCGTGCGACCGAACGGGCATTTCAACAACCCGACCGAGCGCTCCACACACGAGTGCTAGTCAGTAAGGTTATGATCACGATGGTTCGCATTTGCTGGGCAGGCTTGTATCATCAGTGTAGCAGTATAAAGAGCAGTCCGAAACAGCAACTGTGATTTTCTGATCTTCACTGTGGTTAAGGTTATCGTTCCATTCGCAACTATTCATATACCGCTTTGGCAGAGGGCAAAAACCATGATTACCTATCCTTGGCTCCTGGCCGCTTTGGCTCTCATCAACCCTCTCGCTGCTATGCCCACTGGCGAACAGCTGGCCAAGAGACAAGCCAACAACACATGCACCCAGCCTTTGGTTCGCAAAGAATGGTAAGTTTCGTGTTTCCCCCGCCTGATTTGTGAAAAAAATTTCTTTTCGTACAAGTTCAGCAGTAATTGAGTTGTACGCAGGCGCACGCTTTCCACGGAAGACAGGAAGTCTTACATTGACGCCGTTCAATGCTTATACAGCAAGCCAGCTGTCAATTCGAAGGATGTCCTTCCTGGAGTGACAAATCGTTATGAAGACTTTGTCGGAGACCATATCCTCCAGGCTTCTGCGAACCACTTTGTGGTAAGACAACGCTATGAACCCAGAGGCAAGCGTGCCCTTGTACTGATAGAACGTGCTTTTTTGGTCTAGGGTCACTTTTATCCCTGGCATCGCTTGCTTGTGTGGGCCTACGAGCGTGAGCTACGGCTTTGCGGCTATGAAGGAGCTCAGCCATACTGGGACTGGTCCCTGGATGCGGCAAGCTATGATGACATGCTCAAGTCCCCGGTTTTCGACCCTGATACTGGTTTCGGCGGGAACGGCGAATGGGTGCCTGGTACACCTGAAAACCCCGAACCTGGCATTCCCTTGACCGGTGGCACCCTTGTCTTCAACATGTCTGACCGAACTGGAGGCGGGTGCATCCCGAATGGCCCCTTTGCCAACCTTACACTTCACATGGGTCCCCAAAACAGTGTTGCGTACAACGAATGGTGCGTCCGAAGGGACTTCACCCCTAACCAATTCATGAGTCTGGGAAACGCGGCTTCGGTGGCGGAGGGAATGGCGCAGCCTGACTACGGATTCTTCAGCAAACTCACTGAAGATACCATCCACGGCGCTGGTCATCAGGGCGTTGGTGGTATGTATGGTGTCTTAAGCGATATCTGGGCCAGTCGTGAGTTAAACACCTTTGATCACGAATCTAAGTTCGCCCGCTGACAGTTAGCAGCCGGTGACCCTCTTTTCTGGCTGCATCACTGTAACATTGATCGATCTTGGTGGTCCTGGCAATCGAGGAATCTGACGGAGCGCCTCCGCGATATATCCGGCCCAATTACTCCTTTTGACCATGACAACCGTCTCGGTGGCAATGTCACACTCGATTTCGAGGTCCGTACCAATTCGACTATCAATGTAACCCTTCCTATCAGGGACCTCATGGATATTGGCAATGACTTTCTTTGCTACACTTACGACTCCCTTTACTGAGGACAGCCAGCTAGCTTGAACACGATGTCTTGCTTCACTTTCACCTACAGAAGCTCAGCTTCAAGATCCTATTCCAAAGCCTTCCCGTTCACCCTTTGTATGAATTAAGAATTATTAAGCAGCTCTCAACTTCAGACTTTAGAGGCTAAAACTGATTACATCGCCGTGTCATCTGACCTCATGCATGCCACTTTAAGGCCGTCCGGATTCTCTCGGGGAAGGCACTGACTTCATAGCTAACTATCAAAGGGTTCAACCGCTTGATTGAATCGGGACTTCCGTATTATTAGAAGCCTGCAAATTGCCTTTCTCATCAAGTATAACGAAAGCTTCCTACCGGGCCCCTTTCCCGTTTCATATTGAGACATGAACTACCATGATCGTTGTGTCTTGTCTACAGTCTGGCAGCTAAGTCCCAGGTCGCAGAAGAGGTAGAGGGACTCGATTTGCTCCACCGAACTCTTGATAGTCTCGACGCATTCAATAGAACACACTGCATACAGCGCTATTCAATCCTCGCCTAAGAAACCATCTGTTATCTATTTTTTCTATTCATCTACAGCGACTACGCCATTGACGTGAACGGTTCTTGGAGTGGAGAATGCGTCTTTCACGTCTAGATGCACTCGAGATATATTGGATAGTCGATACACTTTTGTGTATCGCGTTCATCTGGCATAGATGGAATCCTGAATGTCGAAGTGGGTTATTGTGAATATGACGCTGCTTTCGCCACCAAGCAGTCTTCTGCGCGGATGCTGCTTTGCTTCTTTGGACACCTCAAGTTGTGGCTGATCATGTCATCACTCTGGTGCCACTGCTCGGCTTCACGGGCTGCTAAGCCTCGATTTTTTACAGCTGTTCAACCGATCTGACAGGCGATTCTCCATGGTTCCTTGCGACCCCATCCGCCAAGGCGACTTCCTGCGCCCGACTTCGTCTACTTGCCTATTCAGGCTTAAGTAACTGCAACAGGACGGAAATATTACTCAATCAAAACCACGAGCCTGCTGTCTCACTCTTGTGGGAGTATGAACCTCGTTACTGATTTGCTGAGAGTTTGAGACATTCTTATTTGGTATTACCACAATCTCTGGCAAAGTCTGCCTTGATCATAAGCCAAGGCTGCACTGTAGCTCACACAATTCGAAAGTGTACAAGCCACAAGCCAGCTACAAATAGCTGAGAGAATTCCACCAAGGTGATCAAGAGCAGGCTTTCTGAGTCGGTTTTCCCAACTATCAATACGTCAACCCTGCTCGAACCGAGTCTGTAGCTCACAATCGCTTGACGATGAAAATACCTTCACCGTTCAACGTCTCTAAGAGCTTAGTGCCTTGCGAGAAATGGCGATTAGGAGCCCTGTGGTTTGCAATAGCATCATTTTTCACCTTTTTGGTGAACCTATCTTTTGCTGCCTGGACGATGACGAGGGAAGCCCCTGACGGCATCGGCGTTATATGGGAAGGCGAACACAAGACCGTAAAGATTTGGAACACTACCATCCACGTTCTTATCAACATCATCAGCACAGCTTTACTTGCCGGGAGTAATTATTGCATGCAATGTTTGATGGCTCCGACGCGAAGCGAGCTTAACAAAGCACACTCCGAGAGGACATGGCTCGACATAGGCGTACCTACGATTCGAAACTTGAGGAGTATCACTCTGCAAAGGAAGTCACTCTGGATCCTACTATCAATTTCGTCATTACCACTACACTTACTGTAAAATACCATTCAGTATCATTTGGGCCTTCACTAAAACTAACCTGACTACAGATTCAACTCAGTCATATTTGCCTCAATCGCGCCCCGTGAGTACAGTGTGGCCGCGATAGGCCTGCCATCTGTGCCCAACGCGACCACATCCGGACTTCCACAATCACTGAGTATTCGTCAGTTCTCCGAGGTTCTATCCACGTTCACAAATGCAACCCTTCATTTCCTCACAGTATCTGAATGTCTCGATGATTATGGCAATGACTACCAATCCTCGCGAGGAGATCTTCTCATCGTCGCCAACGACGGAGAACCCATCAATCCGCGACTCCCAAACAGTCTATTGCGTTTACGCTACGCGAGCCACCGTGAAGCATCAATTGCCTGGATGTGCAACTACTCTGACAGCAGTGAACCATGCGACGAGCAGATTGCGGATTATAAGAACGATACAACTACATGGCTCCCTTTTGGCCTGCATGTCAACTCCTGCTATAGCGAATTTCCGGAGGAGCATTCTAGACTACTTTATAGTCGCCCGATTTGTTGGACTGTAACCTTTCTCAACTTGCTGAAGGCAGTCTTCATGGTTTTGGTTGCGTGTGGGGCAACGCATACCAGCGAACAGCCAATTCTCACTATCGGGGATGCTATTGCATCGTATCTTCGGCATCCTGACGATCATACGAAGAACATGTGTCTAAATTCGAGGAAGACGTTCGCCATGAGCAACTGGGACTCACACCGACAAGTGTTTGACCCAACCCCACAACGCAAGTTGAGTGCAAGCAGCTCACGTCGATGGGGATTCTGCGTTGGACTGTAGGTGGCCACTACTGTTCTCCGCAACACATCTCTACAAAACACTGACATAATATTTAGGCAAATGGTAGCTCTGTTTACTACTTTCTTCATTCTAATATGGGGACGTTTGGAACTTGGGACATCCCAAATCACGAAATATGGTCTTGGTATCGTCCACAGTGCCACCATCCTGAACATCTTCAGCTCAGGGGCCAATACTCTTCTACTCAACGTCATTATCGTCAATCTGCCGCAACTCCTGCTGTCTATCACGTATTTCAACTACAATGCCCTCTATACATGCATATCTCTGGCTACGGAGTGGGACAGGTTTTGCGGCGGAACCAAGAAAGGCCTCCGAGTGTCTACAAAGCAGCAAGGCGACCAGCGGGAGACATACTTCCTCCAACTTCCCTACCGTTATTCGCTACCACTTGCCGCGTTATCTAGCGGTATTCATTGGCTTATGTCACAGAGCATATTTCTTGTCAGGATAGAAAAGTATGCCGGCGACAACTTCACCGAAACAACGTCTTGTGGATGGTCACCGGTTGGCACCGCCTGTGTTGTTATTGCGGGGAGTAATCTCGTCGGGTTCCTCGTTGCCGCTGCCTCTCGTCGTCTTCGCTATGGAGGGATTCCTGTGGCTGGTAGCTGCAGTGCGGCAATAGCTGCAGCATGCCACCCGGACCCATCAGAAGGCGATTCATTGGCAACATTGCCCCTGAGTTGGGGTGTTGTTTCTACAACAGATTACATGGGCCACTGCTCGTTCTCGAGCAAGGATGTTGAGAGACCCATGGAGGGGGGTTTCTATGCTTGACGAAATACAATGTCAGTATGGCCATGGAGCTTGTGGTCTGATACATCACACCGTAATGGTAGTCGCAGTAGTGTGGGAAACGAACTTGGAATTATCGAGACTCTATGTCATCCCTCTCAAGCCCCAAACCCATCAAACGCAAAACACTCTAAATCTCTTTCACAAACCCAACCTCAACAACCCTCTCCATCGCCAGCCTCAAATTCGCAATCTTGGCCCGCGTATTATCCCTCATCCACAAAAACGTGCCCAACACAATCCTCCTGAAAATATTCGTGCCCGTGCGAATGTGCATCTGCCCCTTGCCCACAACATACAGCACCTTGTGCGCATACGCGCGGTCCAGCTTCGCCAGCTCCGCCGCGACCCGCTCGTCCTTCAGCTCCGACGGGCCCTCCATCTCCTCCCACTCCGTCGCCGTGCCGGACGTGTTGGTCTCCTGCTCGCTGGCGGTGGCCGCCTTCGCCGCCGCCTGGCGCACCACGAAGCGGCGGATCTGCTCGTAGATGAGCGCGCCCAGGTCCGGCGAGACGACCTCGTCCATGAAGCCGTGGCGCACCACGAGGCGGTAGCAGCCCGGGATGTTGGCGAAGCGCGAGATGTGGTAGCGCTCGGCGTCGGGGACGGAGGGCACCTCGACGGGGTGCAGGTGGAAGAAGACGGCGACGTCGGGGAGGGCGCCGAGCTTGGAGGCGAAGTGCGTGAAGACGCTCGGCGTCTGGATGCCCGTCTTGTCGAAGAAGATGCCGAACCCGCTGACGGGGGAGAGCAGGTCGCCGCCCCAGCGGGGGGTGAGCTTCAGCCCGCCGTCGGCGGCCTTGGCGAGCAGCGCGGACGGCTGGAAGCGGTCCTCCTTCTCGGCGCGCCACTGGTTCTCCTTGCCGAAGCGCCAGAGGAGGAACATGCCGGCCATGAGGGCGGAGATCATGAGGGTGAACCAGGCGCCGTCGGGGACCTTATTGAGGGCGGAGGAGAGGTAGAGGCCGTCAAGGGTGGCGAAGGCGAGGAAGGGCAGGAAGATGAGCCAGACGGGCAGGCGCCAGACGAGGATGGCGACGAGGGTGACCATGAGGGTGTCGAAGAAGGTGACGAAGATGACGCAGACGCCGTAGGCGTGGCCGAGGGAGGTGGTGTTGTTGTAGACGGCGGTGACGAGGATGGTGCCGAGCATGAGCAGCCAGTTGAGTAGAGGAACATAGACCTGGCCGTGGAAGGTGGACGAGGTGTGGACGACCTTCATCTGCGGGCAGTAGGAGAGCTTCATGATCTGGGAGGAGAGCTGGAAGGTGGCGGTGATGATGGCCTGGGAGGCGACGATGGCGGCGAGGACGGCGAGGATGAGGGAGGGGTAGAGCATGCCGGGGGGCACGGTGTTGAAGAAGGGGTTGGTGTACTTTTCGGGGAAGAGGGCGAGGTGGGCGGCCTGGCCGGAGTAGGCGAGGATGAGGCAGGGGTAGGTCCAGAGCAGCCAGCTCATCTGCACGGCGCGCATGCTGAAGGCGCCGAGGTCTGCGAAGAGGGCCTCGACGCCGGTGAAGCAGAGGAGGACGCCGCCGAGCATGCGCCAGCCCTCGGTCTTCTTCTCCATGAAGAAGTGGATGGCGTAGTAGGGGGAGAAGGCCTTGAGGACGGTGTAGTCGTACTTGACGAGGTTGTAGATGCCGAAGGCGCCGTTGAAGCCGAGCCAGACGATGACGATGGGGGCGAAGGCGCCGGCGAGCTTTGTGGTGCCGAGGGGCTGGATGAGGAAGAGCAGGACGAGGATGCCGCAGGTGGTGCCGACGATGGTGGAGGTGCTGATGTCGGGCTTGACGACGGCGAGGCCCTGGATGGCGCCGAGGACGGACTGGGCGGGGGTGAGGATGCCGTCGGCGATGACCATGGAGACGGCGAGGACGCCGATGGTCTTGAGGAAGCCGCGGGTGAACTTCGACTTTTCGATGGCGGAGCGGATGCCGCGGGTGACGGGGCGGACGTCCTGGGTGTTGAAGCGCTCGAAGTTGAGGGTGGCTTCCTCGCGGGGGTCGACGGTGGTGATGTTGGCGAAGCGGGTGAGGAGGGAGTAGCAGGAGAAGGTGCCGCCCTCGCCCTCGTTGTCGGCGTGGAGGACGATGAAGACGTATTTGATGGTGACCATGAGCGTGAGGGACCAGATGATGAGGGAGAGGACCTGGGTGAGGTCGTTCGGGGTGGGGACGTCGGTGAAGGTGGAGGAGTACACGTAGAGGGGACTGATGGACGTGTAAGTGGGCGTGATGATGTGAGTGTTTGCGATGCGGCTTACCTTGTTCCAACATCGCCGTAAATAACACCAATCGACTGATACGCAAGCCTGTTATCATCATGTTAGTGCCATATCGCGACCCTGGACCACACGCATCACGAACCAAATCAGAGTCGTCCCCGTGAAGATCTGCTTCTTCCTCCCATCATCGCGCCTCCAATCGTCACCGCCCTCGTCGACTTCGACGGTCGAGTCCCTGGTACGGGCGCGCGAGAGACTGCGAGCGCGGCCCCTGGACCCGACGCGGTCGAGGTCGCGGCCAAAGTAGATGCCGCCGGCGACGCCGGTGCTCGATCCGACGTCAGGACGCTGCCATTTCTGCCACTCGTCAATGGTCGAGCTCGACGTGACCCGGTCGGGCTTCTCGAGGTTGTCGTCAAAGTTGATTCTCTGCGGGGTGGGCGCGTTTGGATCGGCCATGCCAGGCGCTGCAAACGTCTATTCGTGTGGGGAGGAGGAAAAGAGAAGATGGAGCGAGAGTGGAAGAGGGAAAGGCGCCGGCGCAAAGCACAGCGTGGGAGGTGGTGAGCGTGGCAAAATAGCAGAGCCGGTTCCCGGAGGGAGGTTGCAGTAGATCAGCAGAACAGAGAGATGATGACGGGAGACGGAAATCTTTTAGACACGTCTACATGGGAAATGGGACGGGGGATGGGACGGGCTCTTTAAGTCGGGCAGACGTTGGGGGCGTTCGCGCCGGCGCGCCGATGCCCTGGCCCTAATCTCACGATGATTCGTGCCTGTCTCGAGACAAAGGACAAAAGGCAAAGGGCAGATTGCCGTATCGGACAGTGGGGGTACACCCATGAGGGATCTTGGTTCATCTTTGCCCATCCTCGGGGTCTCACTCTCACTCTCCCATGGATGACGGGGACTGGGGATGGGCCACCACCCAAGGCGGTCTGGCTAGTGCGGCGGGAAAGGCTCGATACCAGATGCATCCATGGCGCGTGGCGTGCGGACGGTCTTCTTTCTAGTGTGCCTTGGTGCCGAAAAGCTGCCCATTCTGCACGTAGATTTGAGGGTTAGAGACCAGGATCCAGCCCTCTTTCGTAGTCTCGTTCACTCCCACCTCTCTTCCTCTCCCCTGGGACGCCCATCGGTGGCCCGTGTCGTTCGGGTGAGCCCTCAGTCTAGCGCGGCTTGCACATGCAACATGCAACATGCGCGGGCTAATGTTGGACGATGACGGGGGCGCCGCGCATGGCTGGCAGGGAAGGTTTATCAGAGGCTCTCGTTGACAGAAACATGATTGTCACAAACTGCAGGAGAGACGCAGAGCTGGGACGGGGGGCTTGACTTTGGGGGTAAGGCAGGCTGCTTGGAAGGAGGGAACGGCTTAGCGCGCATCCATGGCGTGTGGCATGTTATTTGCTCTCACGGAGTGGTCTAATAAGGTATGCCGGGTAGGCCAGAGGCCGGACGATGCAAGAGAGCTGTACGAAGTGTGAGGAAACGGGCGCCCGCTGCGGTGCCGATGGCTGCTGGTCATGGCCTGAAGTTGGGAACTTGCAGGGGTAGCTCGGACCAGGGGGGTAACGGATGGAAGCGGGGATGGGGGAGGATGAGGCTTCTTCATCATGGGCAAAAAGGAAAGAAAGGCAAAGATGGTGGGCACGAGTCGCAGGGATGCGATGGATGGGGCGTGTTTGCAAGGGAGACGTGAAGCATGTATGAACGAGTGGCTCGGAATGGCCTTTGCGATGATGACAGATGTTGCGCAAGACAATGGGCGGGAAGGCCGTCCTTCTTGTCGTTGTTGTCTCTATTGTCTTTTCACCTCTGCTTTGTTAGTCTCGAGCTCTCGTCTTTTTCCCGCGCGAGGGCGAGTCCAGGCGGTCTGATGACTGTATGGTGGGAGGCCGCTTACACGTGCCAGCGCGTTCGAGACAACCCGCGCATCTTCGTCTCCCATGCAGCAGCAACCAGCGGGTCAGAAAGGAGCCAAGTTGCGGGCGTCGGAGAGATGCAATGGCTGCGGAGCTTTCAGGGCCGTACAGACGTTTAGATGAGGGGCCAGGAGAGGGGCGGTCTCGAGAAGTAGAGCCCCTTGTTGATCGGCTCTTCAAGTGAAGACCGAGTAATATTCGTGTCGTTGGTAACAGCAGAAACACACAGCAACATAATGCCTCACTGCAGATTTTCTGCCGCGTCCCGTTCGTCGACGGCAGGGCCCTGTTTTCATCTCTGGCTAGGATCTGCAGCGAAGAGGACCCCAGTCGAGAAAAAGAGTGGATGGCCAGAAAGAAGAGACGAAAAAGGGAACGGGCATGGCCGGTGGGCAGAAAGACAGACACAGAGAGAGAGGGGAGGCAGCCCAAACATTCCATCGCAACAGACCCAGACACGGACGACGAAAAAAAAAAAAAAAAAAAAAAAAAAANAAAAAAAAAAAAAAAAAAAAAAAAAAAAAGCCAAGAAAATGTCATGCACAGACGCCCGTAGCTCTCTGGCTGGGCTCCTCAGGTACTTCACAGCTGCAAAGGGACTAGCACCCCTGCCATCCCCGGACACTGAAGCTTCGCACAGTGGGTTCGGTGGGCCACTGCCGGCTCCAGTGGGACCCGTCCACTGCGGGTGTCGACGGGCGGTTGGGTGTTTGGTTTGTTTAGCGCTGCTAAGCTTCTGCTAGCGGCAGCCAAGGTCGCCGCATCCAAAGCACTACCAAATCCGCTCATCTCGACTATCTGCCCTAAGAAAACGCAACTTTGAGCTTCAT